TTTTCCTGATGGGACCTTTAATAAAAGTGCCCTTCTATGCACTGATATTCTGTACCATCAGCTATTTGTTCATCCTTTGCTGCATTACACAGCACCCCGTATTCACTTGCATAGGTGGTATACGCTCTGTTCTTTGTATGTCTCCTTCTCGGGCATTATCTATTACGGATATTGCCTTTCTTGTTTCATCATTACCGCCACCGCTCCTGTTACTTGGCGATTTTAATGCCTATCATTTCCTCTGGGGGGGGGGGGCTCACTGTGATTCCCGTGGCATTCAGTTAGAGGCTTTTCTTGCTACCCACCCCCTCCATGTTTTAAATACAGGTACTCGCACCCATTTTGATCCTCGGACTCGCACTCTTGCATCGATCAATCAGTCTGCTCTTCATCCGCCGCATTAGACTTCACCTGGTCTGTTCTCCCGGATTTACATGACAACGATCATTTCCCAATCATTCTTGCTTCCCCTTCACATTCACCACCTCTTCGTATCATACGCTGGCAATTTGATCAGGCAAATTGGAACCTTTACTCCCAACTGTTTTTAGTGAGGTTCCTTCTTCGTCCTCCATTGATGAGCTTTTACACCTCTTCTCGTCCTCCGTTTTAACCGCAGCTTCTCATTCTATACCCCAAACTTCGAGCAGGCATTCTCAGAAATACGTGCCCTGGGGGTCTCCTGCTTGTGCTCGTGCAGTATGTTTGAAACTCGCTGCGTGGGGCAGGTACCAGTACAATAGAACCGCTGAGAGACTTCTTGATTTTAAGCAGAAGCGTGCAATCGCTCTCCGTGTCATCCATGACGCTAAATGCACTTGCTGGCGAAATTGTCTCCACCATCACCTCTGCTTTCTCTGAATGCAGTCTGGAAAGTACGAAAACTTGAGTGGTAAATATTCTCCTGACCCGGCTCCTGTTCTGCGGGTTGCAGGTGTTGGTATAGCAAACCCACTAGATGTTGCCAATGAAATTGGCAATCATCTTGTCTGTATTTCTCAGGGGCTCCATCTATGCCCCTCGTTTCTTTCTTCAGTCTGCCAGAGAGTTAGCACCCTTGGACTTTTCTTCTCTAAGAGATGAACAGTATAATGTGCCTTTTACACTCCAAGATCTGGAGGCAACACACTTAGCTTGCCGATCATCGGCAGCTGGGCACGACGACATTCATATTCGTATGCTACAACATTTACATAAAGTCAGCCCTTGCAGTCGTCTTACGCCTTTTCAATCTTATTTGGTCACAAGGAGTTCTTCCTAAGCTGTGGAAATCTGCCATTATTCTCCCTTTCCGCAAACCGGGCACTACGGGACGTGAAGCCTCCCACTATCGTCCCATTGCTCTTCCCAGTGCAGTTTGCAAAGTGATGGAATGCCTGGTAAATAGACGTTTAGTGTGGTATTTAGACACAACAGTCTCTCCACTTGTCAATATGGCTTTCATAAGGGATGTTCTACCATAGACCCCTTACTACGCTTGGATACATATGTTCGTAATGCCTTTGCGAATAACCACTCAGTTATCGCAATATTTTTTGACCTTGAGAAGGCATGTGACACAACTTGGAGGTATAATATTTTGGCCCAAGCCCACTCCTTAGCCCTCCGAGCCAATCTACCATCCTTAAGAACTTTTTAACTGAGACATTTCCGTGGTCTGGTTAATGTGCTCTCCCCGGACTTTATCCAAGCTGAAGGTGTCCCCCAGGGATGTGTTCTGAGCACAACACTTTTTCTCCTTGCTATAAATGATTTGGCCTCTAGTCTTCCAAATATTTGATCATCACTATGTTGATGACTTTGCTATTGCCTGTGCAGGCGCTGACTGTCACCTCATTAGTTTCTCTTCAGCATGCGGTCGACCTTGTTTCCAATTGGGCCACCACACATGGGTTTAAATTTTCCAGTACCAAAACTCGCCAAATTACTTTAACTAGACGCTCTGTCATCTCCGATCATCCTTTGCACCTCTATGGCTCCCGTATCCCTGAACGTGGTACTGTCAGGTTTCTAAGTCTTCTCTTTGACCGTTGGTTATCCTGGAAACCCCACATTACCTCTCTAAAGGCAACTTGTCACAGCCGGCTGAACCTTCTTAAAACCCTTGCTCATCTTTCATGGGTAGCTGATCGTCGAACTCTCCTTCGCCTACATTCCGCCCTCATTTAACCGAAACTTGATTATGGTGACCAGATCTGTTCAGTGGCCTCTCCTGCTACTCTCTAGCCTTAACCCCATTCATCACCAAAGATTACATATATGCCTTGGTGCTTTTCGCTCTTCCTCTGTTGGGAGCCTCTATGCAGAAGTGAACGTTCCATCCTTATCCGATAGCCGTGATGCCCATTGCCTTCGCTACTATGTACGCTCTCATGATCTCCGCAATCCTTCCATTTATAGAATGGTCACTGATATTAGTAGACATTATTTGTTCGCTGCCCCTGTTTACTCCGTCCCTTCTCTCTTCGCCTACATTCGCTCTTGTCTTCTCTTCAATTACCACCTCTGTTCATGTAGCATCTCACTTGTCCCTACCCCCCTGGGAAGTTCCAGCTGTTCAAGTCTGTTCTTTCTCACTCCCTTGCTCGAAAGCCCAACTGACTACGGTAGCTTCCCGGTCTCTTTTCTTGACCACTTCCATTCTCATTCTCATGCTATTGCAGTGTACACAGATGGCTCTAAGTCTTCTGGCAGCACAGGATTTGCAGGAGTGTTTCCGGACAGCATTGTATGAGGGCATTTACTATCTTCGGCTAGTATCTTTACTGCTGAATTTTATGCCATTCCTGCAGCACTTGTCCGTATTGCATCTATGTCTGTCATCATTTGTGGTTGTCTCAGACTCCCTTAGTGCTTTGCAGGCTATACAGAAATTTGATACACCTCACTCCTTAGTCCTCCGTATCCAACTTTGGCAACGCCGCATCTCTTCATGTTGACGTACAGGGCAATGAACAGGCAGACACTGCTGCACGGTCAGCATTACATGACCTACCAGTTTCATATAGAGGTGTTCTATTTACGGACTATTTTGCTGCAATAGCTACCCACCTTCACACCCTTTGGCAACAACGTTGGTCTACTCTGCTTGGTAACAAACTTCATTCTATTAAACCGAGTATAGGTTACTGGCCGTCTTCTTGTCACCATTGTCGAGGTTGGGAGACTACTCTCTCCCGTCTTCGCACTGGCCATACTCGTCTTACTCATGGTTATCTCATGGAGAGGCGCCCTGCTCCTCTGTGAGAATTGTCAGGTTCCATTATCGGTTAGCCACATTCTATTAGACTGCCCACTTTATCAACGAATACGCAGAATATACCTCCAACATCGTCTTTGCTCCACTGCTCTCTCTTTACCTTCCCTTCTCGTTGATGGACCAACCTTTCATCCGGACACTCATTGACTTTTTGACAGCTTACTTCACAAACTCTGATACCTTCAGCCCTTTCTACCTCAATCTCTTGCTACCCTCTATCCCCGCACTATCCCCTGCCCCGCTGTTTTCTGTAACCTACGGATCATCCCTCCCCCCTTCTACCGCCCAATACCCTCGCTTCCTTCCCTACCCTGCAGCGCTGTATAGCCCTTGTGGCTTAGCGCTTCTTTTTGAGTATAATAATAATAACTTTAATATATACGTCCATTATCCACTACTTTCGCGCTCTACGTAATTTCAGTCTTGTGCATTGCGGCACTCTGGATTGGGTTATGAAATACGGGTATACCTTCATTGCATCGCGCAGCGACCGAAATGCATCTTGTTTATTTTTAGGTATCCCCGTAGAGGAACCTTTGAGGTTGCCTGATTTTCTCTTTTTTTTATTCTTCCAACTTTTCTATTTTCTCTTAAAACTTAAACGCCTCGTCCACTCTGCCTCGTATTTGCATTGCTTGTTTACGGTAACGAGGACCAGAGTATAGGTACAGTTGTCCTGTTTGTGCCCTGTTAAATTTGAGTCGATTCTCCACATCCTGGAACGGTGTGGATAACTTCCAGAACCCTGAGTGATGGAGCGTCATGCGTTCAAGCAAGTTGCCTAATTCCAGAACGACTGGGAATGAAACTCGTGTCTTGATTCAGGTTTGATCACTTCGTCTGTATAAACAGTGTAAAATTTATATTCAGGTTAAATCGCGTTAAATAAATTTCGGCTTTCCTCTTCTCAGTGACTTCAGTATTTAATCGCTGACGCATCTTAGGGTCAGGATAATATTTACTTTTGTTGACACGCAGAGCGTATTTCTCGATGTAATAGAATGATTAAATAAAAATAATTACAAATAACTGGAAAAGTAATTGCATTTTTATAGGGTTTTTAAGTTTACCGATTGGAGACTTTCCTCTCAGAACATTCTCAATATATTCTTTTTCTCTCAAATTTTGGTGTATTATTCGAACGTTTTATTCGCTCGGCTTCAAATTTTTCAACGTAAGTGCTATGCATCTCGGGCAATATTCCTGTGACTATGAGCATTCTTCGCACCATATGCATTATTAAAAGTGCTAAACTCATTAGGGTACCATATGCAATAAGTAGGATTGTTTTTTCCCAGATTTCGTTTCCATGATAACTTGAGACTACAATAACTCCTCTGATGGGTTTCAACGTTAACTCTGGTGTATCCCAGGCAGCAGAAGGTTGATATATTTAATGAAGAGTGCCCGTTGCCTGGACGGTGCCCTGTGGCCTGGTGGCTAAAGCTCTCGCTTTACATGGAGAGGTTCTGCGTTCGATTCCCAGCGAGGGTAGAAACAGGCGTGTTTCTTTACACCGGTTGTCAGTTCACCCATCAGTAAAATGAGTACCTGGGTGTTAGTGGACTGGTATAGGTCGCATCCTGGGAAAAAACTGACTTGATTTGCCCGAAATGCTCTACATAAGCGGCTTTCTATACAGAAGTATGTCATTGATGTCAGCTAGGACTGTATACCTTGTACATGTACATTTCATTATGTTGCCTTGATCTTGGCTCTTGATTTAAAGGACTGAACTTACCTTCACTAGAGTCGAATTTCAATGTTACCAATAACACACGCGCTGTATGACCCCTGAGGGCATAGCACTCTCCTCTGATTAAAATATTACGATCTTCCAGTGGCTGATGCATCTTATGAAATGAATAGAATGTTTCACGGGCTTAGGTATGAACACACGCGCGCACTCACGACCACCGAAGAGGCGGGGCCAGGAGCTATGACTCGACCCCTGCAACCACAAATAGGCGAGAACACAAACAGGCCAAGTGTTTATCGACAAGTGCCTTTCACAACTAGTGACACACACCCACACACCCACACACCCACTCAGCACCAGTCATATATATAATGCCCACTTATGAAAACATACCCCAGAACACAGGTCCCACCAAACATCTATCTCCCGTGTCTCTCACTCTTTCACCAGTCTTCTCTGCACATCACGAGTTTTCACAATAGTATCACATTTTTGCCTGATAGTAAACAATGAAGTTTTTCAACTGTGATGGATATTTGAGTCATGGCAGATGTTTCTGGTTGACCTGCACTGAGAAGCCAGGATACAACCCCTCTCTTCTCAGAGTAACGGAAAATCCACAAAAAAATATCAGCCCCATTCCGGCTGAGTACACACGAGACAAAGTCCAATACGCTGCCTGCTACTGCTTGCAAGGCAGAGTGCAAACAAATAGACCAGAGCAAGATAATATCGAAACATTTCGCCAAGGAAGAGCTTTATTAAGTCGGGACTTAATGGAGCTTATCTTAAATGAAACAGCGTCATTGGAAATAAAAACTTCTTCGCTCAAAGTGTCTATATTAACCTGTTTAGGTTCTTTAGGAAGAGTTAGAGATGGTTTAATTATCTGTAAGGAAAAAATAAAGATCGGAGCTCAGGTAATTTTGGGGGGAAATTTGATGGGCTGTTTGAAATGTGAGAATTGTAATACAAGTGGTGAGATGTAAGGAAAACAGGTCAGCCAGAAATGAGCTGTTCTAATGCTGCTCTTCTTGATTGGCCGGTTCTCTTCCCGGCCCGGGTCTTTTCCAGATAGTGACCCGACCTTGGCTCCCTATCGTGGGAGTGAGACCCATGTCTGCCATGGGAGGAGATAAAAGTACCTCCTCATCTGGGACCAACTGTCCCTATGCCTAGCCCCCTTTCCCCGCCCTCACGGGGATCGTAGGGAGAAGCTAGGCCTCTGGTCTGCCATCTTCCCCGCCCCAGGGGGGGCTCGTAAGAATGGCAATATTTTGAGCTGCAGGTGGTAGCAAGCTCTGGCTCTGGCACCTTCCCCGCTCCAAAGGGCTTGTGGGAATGGTGTCTGCTATATAAATAATGCTGCTCTGACGTGGTAGATCGTCAGTGGATCATATCGTCCATCTTCGGAAAATACGAAGAAAGTGTTAACATATTTTTTTACGGTATGCTTTATAGGCATATTTCTCTTTATTTACATCCAGGACAAGTTTTATCCTCGCTTACCATTGCTTGATTTCTCTGGTGGCAGTCCATCAATCTACAAGATTGATGGACTGAACACATCGATTCCAGGTTGAGGGACTGATTACCTCAAACTCCTCTCCTTACACCTTTCTGCTTTGTATTGGACGGATGAAGCCACTGTGTAGCGAAACGTTTCTTCAATAAAGATTCCCATATGTTGCGTAAGTGTCTCAATCTTCAGCTGTAGCAGAGCTAACCAGTGCTTGCACACGTTACCTTTCAAAGCATATTAGATCACTGACGACAGTGTTGATGAGAGTTTGATATCGAGCAGTCAATAACTCTGGAATTTCATACTTTATTTTCAGTTAATGTAATACTTTGCTTTTCATTTGTTCTGTATTTCAGAATTTGAAGTTGATAGCGTATAATACACACTTCAATTTTAATTATCCATGACACAACGGAAAACAGTGAAATTTTCAGCATTCCTTTTTCAGCATCAGTTTTCTTAAAATGTTTTCAACGTAAAGTTAAATTTCAATGAAAATAGTAAGATATTTGCAGGCAAAACCTTTATTTTCAAGATGACGTTTTGACCAGAGGTGAAATATACAGTTTTGAAATATCCAGAAATATGAACTGAATATCAGTAAATCTTGATTTATAGAATTTTTGAAGATTGTAAAATTTAATCTTAATTATAACATACTGGAACATAATCATATATGATAACATTCAGACTTCCCTGATACTCTCGACTCTGAAGTAATTTTTATTCTTTGTACAAATTAATAACCAATGCTAACTAGTTTTGAAAATGGGGATCTTAGAGTTAGGATGCTGCTGTGTAGAGATGCTGCAGTCCGAAGAGCCATCTGAGCTGTGATGTCAACATGCTTCTGACATGACTGTGGCTGAATGAATGACGTGAAAGTATTTCCTCTTGATGGGGTCAGTCTACCTCGGTGTGAAGACTGCTGGTAGCACTAAAATTGCAGTAGTTCAGAGTAACAGGAGCAGAAAACAAGGTGAAATTAGAGTAACACACTGGGATGATCATGGGTGCAAAACAAATGGAAAAAATGTTTGTCTATCGCTAGAAACTTCTAAATGTTGTATATTATGCTATAAATTTATTCTATCTTGTTAATTGATCATCTAAGTTTAATATTTTGCAGAATGGATAAGATGCTAAGTTTCACATCGAATTTATATATTTATATTAAAAAAATACATTATAAAAATCTCATCCAGCTCCTCAGAGCTCGGGCGCATACCCAGGATACATTAGGCATTACCCCTCTGAACTGCAACGCTTAGCTGCTGGAACAGCAGCCCCTGATCAGTGTTTTGCCTAGCTTCTTAGGGATGATTTCAAACCCCTTGTGGCACAAGAACTGCAGTCCCCTGTATAACAAGTTGATTTCAAACCTACCTTGCTCTTGTAGCGTGAGCTGTGGTGTTGGATGCACCATCTTCGACAGGTATTGGTGACTGATAGAAGCTAAAGTGCCCTTGGATGTATACGTCTTCCACTCAGTCTGGAAATTCGCAACACTCGCTGGTACACTACGTTCCACATGGTTTATCTTTCGTGGTAATGTCACTAAAGAAGCTATGCATACTCCTTTGTTATAGGTTTATGGATATTATGGAGATTGTCTTGAGGTACAGCAATGCACGATTCACTTCCTTTGTTTGCTCTTATAGAGTGAAGTATCAGTCTTTACTGCACCATTACATATTGCAATCTGAAGATGCCACAGCACCCTGTGCCGCCACTGCCCCAATGCACAAAGAAAGTTGATTCATGCAAATTTCCTTTCATTGCCAAACTTCCAGGATGAAGCAATGCAGAATGCTTCATTCTTGCTGTCTGAGCATAGATAACAATGTACACTATCTTTAACATGGTAATAGAGTGCAGGATTTTCCTTAATTGTCCTGCTAAAGTAAGAGATTCTCTCATTAAACTACATTATTTGCATGGTCTGAGGAATTAGACCTGTCGGTCTCCTTCCTCAGACCGAACCTAATTACCCCCCAATCCCCCCTTCCCAATCCCATCCTCCCTTTTTTCCTTTCCTCCTCCTCCTCCCCACCCTCCCTTTTGCCCTTCCTCTTTTTGGCCTTTGGGATTTTTCCCACAGGCGCGCTAGTTCCTAGGTAGGGGAAAGGGTACCGAGGTCCATCCCATTCCGTTGAGGTTCTTGGTGGTGGCATAGTTTGCCGTGGAATCTGGATTGCCTGGGGATGTCCCGATCCCTTTCCGGTATCCCGGAGGGCGGCTTTGGGTGTCTTTCGGACGACGGGTGTCTCTGGAAGCCACCTTTCGGATTCCGGGGGTGGTGGCCGAAGGAAGTATGCTTTGTGGCGGATATCCGGCCACCCTCTTTCGTCCACCGAAGTAGTTCGGCAGATGTGAGGTTGCTATCCCGGATTGCTGGTTTACTGGCATGAAGGGTAGGGTATGGAACGGGTTCCATGCTGCATCTGCGTTACTTGCGGTGCTGAGGTCCTCTTGGGCGCAGAGGGAGATTTATGGCCCTTTCATTCCTCCTAGGAACTATCCCTCCCCGGTCCCCGCTTTTTTTTCTTTTTCTTTTTATTTTTTTCTTAAAATCAAAAAGAAAAGTTCCCAATCCATGACCCCGCTACCCCCGGGCCCCTTCTTGTTACCGCACCCCATTCTGACCTCGCCTCGTCTTTTGACCACTCTTCGGACACTCCTAAGGCCCCTGTACTTCTTGCTGGTGCTGTTTCGTCACCAGCTTCAGGTGCCGGGGTTTTGACTGACTCCTTAGATTTGTCTGACCTCCGCTCTCCTTTGACTATGCTTCCGCCCTCTCCCTGTACAGTGCGGCAATTTTCGAATCGCCACCCCGTCCCACGTCAAACCATCTCTGGTCCCACTCCTAAATGCCAACAGCAATTGCCCGATGATACTTCTTTGCCACCTTCTTTCTACTCGGAAAAGACTGACACGTTGTACTCTCCGTTGACAAGCTCAGTTTCAGAATGCACAATTGACTAAATACTTTATGACCGACTTCATCTATTGCCTATCTTTCCGACCATAGTATTGGCAAGGCGCTCCTCTGCCATGTTGGTAGAGATATTTCTTGTCATGCTCTTAAGAGTGGTATGCGCATCATCACAGTCCAGAATGCTACCCAAGCTCATGATCTTTCTCTTCTTTCACCTATTGATACTATTCCTATCACTATTGAAAAACATCATTCCTCAATTCTTGTAGTGGTACTGTCATTCTGCCCCATTCCATAGTCCAACAGAATTTCCAGACATGTGGCAATGACATTCTCGAACAGCTGAAACTCCAAGATCTCCCAATTCTCAAGGTAGACACTTATGTTCTTCCTGCCTGTGGGTGGAGACGATACCCTTGCAATGTGGCTTGTTTAACTTTGACAGCCGTGAACTCCCATCCTCTGTTTATGTAGCAGGACATTGGTTACAAGTTCGAAAGGTGATCCCTACACCGCAACAGTGTAGAAATTGCTGGCGATTTGGCCACCCAGTGAAATATTGCAGATCTATAGCCGAATGCCCAGTCTGTGGAGCCAATGACCATTCTAATATGTTTTGCTCGACCTCCCCCTTGCCTTAATTGTCATGAGGCTCACCCTTCATACTCTTGCCGTTGCCAGGTCTACTTAAATG